TGTTCCCATTCGGTTATAGACGTACTGTGTGTTCCAATATCCACTGTGAATCCAATATCTTCAGTAAACACAGCTACAAATTACAAAGAACTAAGGTATAAACCTTGATTGAGGGTTTTTTAATTCAAAGTTATAGGCACTTTAAGTAAATAAACAAAAGATGTCTCCATGTGTATAGAACGAATTTGTTTTCTAATTAGTAGGAACCAATAGGGTTCCAACTCATGCGCAACTTTATATAATCAATTGCATGTTTGGTCTGTGGTCCCCATTTCGAAAATTCGATTAAAATAAAAACTGTCCAAGGAAAAACCATATTTTTGAAAGCAGAAAATAAGCACAATCACAGTTATCATGCAAATTAAACGTTTTTTGACCCCGAAAGGAAAAAGGCATGGATAAGTGACAGCAACACGAAATTCTATAGGAAGTACAGAATGGCTCAAGGGCACATAGTGAGAATCCGATAAACTTCTTAAACAACGCATCCGCTTTGTGGGCGATATGCTTAATGGGGACTTGACTGCCTCTGCACATAAGGGCATCATTCGTCTACTTTTAGGTTCAGACTCGAAAGCAACACGGTTGGGAGTCATAAGGGCGACTGTGTGCTCAGACTGGTATGCATCAGGGGGCGAAATAGGGATTTTTAGAGAAAATTCGGGATTTTAGGCCTCGCAGAAATTTTCTAAAGTTAAAAGCTCCGCAATGCCATTATCTTTCGATCATTTCAAGGTTGGATTTCCAATTCCGTAAATTACATGGCACCCGGTGAAAGTCAGTGTTCACAAGCACAGACAGACCGAGTTATTTTGCTGCCTTTTCTTGCTCTAAGATAAAACCTAGTGAATAGGAATTATGCACAAGTAATAGGAACTCGCGCGTGTTAAGCCGAAGCTATGCTGGTCCCTTTTACAATTTTCGAAAACCGCGCGCTAGTCTGGCATGCACACCACAATCAGCAACCTGGGCAAAGTACTGTGTGTTAGGATGGATGGAAAACCTCTTAGCTCATTCTCGATTTGCGTAGACGGCGAGTCGGAGTCCATTTGTATGCTGTAATGCAGGAAGTAACCTCACCAGCATTCGAAAGATCATTTGCAGCCAACACAATGGAACACCATAACAAACCGATGAAGGATTGATGGATGATTCGCAGAACCTCCTCCAACCGAACAGAAGTTTTCCTTTCAAGTAGGGTGGCAGTCGCTTGTCAATACTCTCAAATTCCTGCAGAACTTGTGATTGCAATTTGTATTAGATTAAGTTTCTTGAGATGTTCCAGCTAAAGTACAGAGCGTCTTATTAAATTAATTGGAAAAATGCAAAGTAGTTTTTTTACGTGCGACACGGTTACGTCATCATATGCTTTCGTTGTTCTCGCGAGACTCTTCCAATCTGTTGAAGGATGCCTTTTGGATTCTGACTTTGAGAATCTTTGAGATGTGTGTAAAATGAGAACAGGGCGAACCACCTGCCAGATCCTCTACACGAATAGCTAGAAGTTAATCGTAAATCAGAGGCAAACAATCCTAGCAATAAAATTTGGGATTAAAATCCTAGCACATTCCCCGATTCCGGTTTAAAAGTTAAAAAAGTAACCTCAATATACCAATGTGTTAGGAATATGTTGGAAACTGACTAAACGTAATAGCTATCAAGTTCTCAAGGTGTCAGCGTGTTGCATCACGCTGAGTTTGTGTGCTCCCAAATGTATAAACCATAGGAGTGATTTAACAGAAAATATGTGGTCTCGTTAGCTAAACGTCACGGAAACATATTTCTAAGGTGCCAGCATTAATTTCAGGTGTTTGTATACGGTAGCAATAATCAGGTTAGGAAGAGAAATATGCGCCATTTCGAGTTAGAAAAAACCAAGCAATTAACAAACTACCGTTTGTTCTTGCGATCGTTTTATTTGTTACCAATAAAATATAATTCAACAAAGTAAACTTGGTTTGAGTTACTTCCTATTTCTTTGACTACATTCACAGCTTTTTGCACAAATGTTTTCGATGACTGGTCATAACATTATTTTCTAGTCATCACTTAAGCTGGACGAGACTTCCGGCATCCGTTATACAACACGCTGGTAAGAAAATATCGCAATTTGGAAATTGACATAATATGGCGATTAACACCTCTGAGTCTGGTCTACATTTAAAAAAATATACAATGGAGTACCTTGGTCGATGAAAGGCTAGGCAAATATGCAGAGAAGCAAGTACCTATATCCAAAAGGTTTCTTCTCACAAAGCCTACCTAAAAAAGGTCCTTTGAATCTAGGAACTCTTTTCCCAATTTATTTAAGGCACAAGGAGGAATTATTTCAATTGCACCATAATTGTAACTAAACCAAAAGACTCTCGTTAAAAATTGGGTAGTCTTTGTCAAGCTTTTGAGGAGTTATTTACTGAAAAGACGTGCACTGGTGTCCCATTTTGAAAGGGAGCCAATAAAATTGAGAGAGCCGGATTTAAGGGCAGTCTTTTCCATCAACCCAACGGCTTACCATATTCTGTGCAGAAAATCAATAGGTGCTCACAAACTGCTCTTGCATAAATTCTAAATACGCTTATTGTATTTATTCTACTCCTCCATGTTTCATTTTGGCACATTTTTTAATCAAAACCAACCGTCTTTGATTAAAAGATGCGATTTTTCTCCCATCAGACAGATGGAACTAGGTATTTGATTGAATAGCGATCGCATTCAATAAAAGCAAATGTTCATTGTGAGCTTTTACGAGATGTCGTTAAAAGCCCTTTTTACTAAGCCATTCACATTGGGGTCAGCAGTTACCAACCTGAAATTTTATTTGACCACATAAAGCCTTCGTGTGTAAACTCCAGCATAAGTGTACAGATTACTCAGTCAAAGAAAATGCACCACAAGCCTCCCATCCTACAACGTATAGTCATTGCTATTTATGACTAAATATTTCGGAGTAATTTAAAATTTGCTTATCAGTAGAGAGCACAGATTTTTGCCATAGACGTTGATCCTACCAGTAATATTTTTATTTGGCTTTTGGTATTATTGCACCTCGGTCAAACTCCTTTCGGCAGCACTGTTGCTCCAGGTAGCAGATTGTTTTGAGTTTCCATAGGCAACTAAATGTTGAAAAATTGCGAAGGTGAAAATCTAGATCACAAGGTGCTTTAAAGGGGGAAATATTTAAATTTGGGACATGGATTTGAATAAGCCTCAATACGAAGGACTAGACGCTTGGAAGAATTCCTATCCAGATTTCGATCCCCTTGAAAGTAAATTCTCATATTGAATTATGCCCTGGAAATTAGCATAAGCGTGTAGGAAAAATCGTTTTTTATTGCCAAATGAAATCACTTTGAATGTTAATAAAAACAATCATAACAATCCAGGATCAGTTTGGACATTTTAAAGTGCAGTGAGGCAAACCTCTCTGGGTGAAAAGCTGAACATACTTGCCCCACTGTTGTCCTACAATAAGCCAAAGACACGCCATAGATATCCGATAAAACGCTAAATGCATAAGCGGTGTTTCTCCGTCGAAACCAAGTTTAATTCAAATTACAAGTGTTCGTTCCCATCACCCAATCGGCCATTTGTTCAATTTGTCTTCCGCGTCCTGAGCTTTTCTGATTGTGGTAGCCAAATGAACTCTCACCAAGTTGCCAAGCGATCACATCAATAAGTGGGAAGGGGGGTAATAACTGTGACTGTCACTTCAGTGGACGCTTGAAAGCCATTGAAAAGATCTGAAATAGTCTCTTAAACAGATAATTAAGCAGTCTAGACTACGTCGGTTATATGGCATTAAATAAAGATTTTAGAACCAGGAATAACCTCTAAGACTGCCGAAACATCGCAGGACTTTTCACTTTACACTGTTGCACGTGTGCAAACTAATTAACTCTTTCAAGCTATAGTGGTAACGAAGGTGACCAGTATCTCCAGCATTAAGGCAGAGGGGTACAGCAAAGGAATTCTGTTGTGAGAAGGTAATCTTGTTAAATATATAAAGGTGACCTAGAATTCAGGTGTATGAAACTTGCTCCCGTGTGCCCAAAAGACAAGCCATAACCGTGTAATACAGTACTGTGGGTGTGACTTTACTGTGACAAAGAAAGGTGATAGTTTAAAGTGCTTCAAGTGGCTCCAGTACACGCAATTCAGAAGATGCCTTGACAACGAAGGATAAACTATTCGAGTGGTGAAACTGGGGATTGTCTCCCCTGTTCTACAAACTTGAACTTTACTAAATCGAGTTTAGGCCATCTAGCACTTAAGCATGAGGGGTAACTTCAACAGGTACTATGAGTGTTATTGATTAAAACAAAGCATGTCAAATTTCAAACCACCAACGTTTTGGCAAATACTATCCACGTCGCCATTATTCTGACTAAATCAAGTGCAACATTTGCAGTAGTCACTGCCTGCTGTTTCCTCTTGCTTTGTGGTGGCTGAAACTGTGTGACTCACGCGTACAAATCATGTTTTATCAACAACTGCACACATTTCAGGGCGTCGTTTTTCAGTTACGACAATTCCCCTTATTGTCTGTTCGACTTTTGAATGTGTGGTGCATTTGACTTGGGAACGTAGATTGCATCTAGTAAGTCGACCTGATAATCCAAATACAAAGAGTTAAGCTGGGCTAGATGCTGTTCGTGTATAATCGGTTAGGTTAGCGATCTCCAACTTCCATAAATTGTTAGTCCGATTGCAAAAAGGTACAGCACTTTGTTTACTAAGGCCGTTGATAGGTATTGTAGTCTTGCCTACCGAAGTTCAAACAGTCTGGAAAAAAACAATCAAGTTCTGATTTTACCGAAGCTATTCACCTTGGATACAATCATTTCCACCACCTAAAGAGTCAAAGCTTCGAATACCTTTCCTATCCAGGAATTTCGTACCTGGTTTTGCGAAGAATCAGATCTGAACACATATGCAACAGACACTGGTTTTATGGTCATGTGTCATACTGGTAGCTATCATTCAACTCTATTCACGTGATTATGACTGACCCCGGGTATGGAAGGCCCCAACATCTGGATTTTCGACCCCCTCCCCCGAGTTTCCCCACACCACGTCGTGGTCTGAGCCACCAGATGCTGCGTGAAGGCCCACGCGTGCGCTTGGTCAATGCGCTGAGGTCGCTGGGAGCGGCGGGGGATGCTGCGGCCATAACGATCGACTTCCAAATGCTCAATTCAGATTCCTCGTTTACTTGCCCACCATCTAAAAGCTTAGACAGGGGTTATATTCGGTATAAGACATACTGGCAAGGTAAACCACAGAGTTGTTTACTTGTTTACCGATAACAAGGAGTCCCATCGATCTCTACTCAAATAATGAAATACCAGCCTTAAGACATTCCAAATGCCTGTTGATGTGTCGTAATGTTCTGTAAGGTTCGGGTTCAACTTCAGGTATGAAACAAAACCAACCACACACTATACCCATCTTTTGTTATCCCTAGAGAAAAGTTCCAACTCTGCCACGATCCTCAAGGAAAGTACAAGGGAAAGCATCGTGCTTTAAACGTGCAAAAACCACGAACGACAAGCTGAAAACGACACCAAAAATTTTCAAAAGCTTGGACCAATAACAACATGGATAGCTGCCCATGAAGATGAAAGTGATGGGAGTGGACATTCCAGTATCGTTTTGGTACAAAATGTGATGTTATGGTAAGGACGTGACAACTTCCAAATGAAGTCGACGACATTTTTAGGTTTTCGGAATACTTAGATTCAGACTACATGTTAAGAGAATTGCTGAATCATGTTTAAGTCATCAATTAGGAAAAAGTAGGAAAGTAATTACGAAATACTGAAAAATTTAAGCTGGTTTTCACATGAATATTGAGGTCCACTTGAGGTTAGTCAATGCTTGGCAAAATGCGACATGATTAACCTATTTACCTATTAATTAGATGAACTGATCTTTCAGGTCTTGCAATGCTCCATAGCATTGTTGGGAGTAGAGCTGAACGGAGGGCCGCTTCCATTGAGGCTTAGTAGCCGGTGCAACCACAAGTTAATGCCTTAATTCAGCTTTCCACCACAGCTTCAGTCTTTTGGTTTCTGTAAAAATAGTTTATGTCCAGCGCTTACAAGTCACGTCAAATGATAAATATTAAACTTTTGAACTAAAATACAATTCATTATCTTGTTTCGAAATTGAATCTCCAGAGATTTAGCCGTCAAATGGATTAAATTCTATAAATCGTAAAGGTGAGTAGATCTAACAGTGGCAAGTCACTATGTTTTAACTGGTACAATTAAGAGTAGATAAGTGAGCGTGAACTGGTGTGGTATAAGGCTTCGATTAGACGCGATCAGCGGCACATTTCAAGTTTGGTTCGCGTTTGTCGAATTCACATTGTTTAGTTGCAAGATTACGTGAGACAGTTGAATTGTATCTGAAAGAAAGCAAATCGTCTCCTTGCAGCTCTAGTAGCCCACTATTTTTCAACTAATAAAAGATAATGAATTGAGCAGACATTTGGTTAATTTTACCAGTGTATCCATCCTTAACAGGGGGGTTTATTTTTTTACATAAGGACAAAATTACAGTTGCAAAGAAATTGCCATCCAACCGCTTGAAGCTTAAGGAGATCGGTGAATTTTAAGTCATCGATGAGTTATAAAAAATAATTTGCACTTATTCCACTTTTCTGTGATAACAGCTGGCTTAACCTAATAATCCACGAAATGTTATAAATTTATCAATGACTCAAGTAATGGAGCTAGAATTGCTTTTGAGTTCTGACTACACTGTCACAATTACCCTAGTCTCTACGCTGAAACTGAACATTGAGAAACATTGCTGAGCATCAGTACTTAGAATTGCTAATCATCATAAATTGGAGAATAATTGAAAAGGAAGCTGCTTCTTGTTGTCAGAAATGTCAAACATTTGAATTTGCATGCTAGACCTCATCGACAAGCCCATTAACTCTGGATTGTACCCTATAATTTCACCATTGCAGCTATCAAACCCTTTAAATACGTCCGGGCAAGCAAACAATGTTTCCGTTCACTCCTTCTGATGCCACATACCAGTTAAAAATGAGGAAATAAGAAGTAAGATTCCGTTGACAAATAAAGCGAAAGGTTTGGACGTACAATTTTTCAGATCATCAGAGTTGTTCCTAAAGCCAGTTAACTAAAAGGAAATTTAGGCCATTGTGTCACTTAGCTTAAGGCATGTTTTACTAAATCCCCCTTCTACAAGTTAGGTTATATACAACGGGAACGTGTTGCCTGTTACCAGTCTAAAAACCTTAAAGGTTATTCTAAAATGACCACAGATTTTGTCAGAAAAGAGCCTGAATTTAGTTTACATAATTTTAAAAACAGGGTCGCTAAATCCTGCATAACTTAAGAGTTAAACAATCCTGAAACAGATCTTTCAGTAATTTATGCCACCAAGGCCTAGAATTGGCCTAAAATGCTTGCTTTTAAACAAAGGAATTATGCAATGTTGTGACGAAGCACAGTACAAATATAGTGACATGAATGGATTTGGAAGGTAAACTAGGCCTGCACAGATGTTGCTTAAGTCATGATTTCAATAGCTTTTGTCAATTGTGCCGTTCGACTTCACGTACAGCATTCTCAAGATGACCGATTCTTTTCATCCAGTTAAGAATTCTCGAGCTTGCACGCCTTTCGTGGATAAACCTGTTTAAATTACCGAAAAACACATGACTCAGCACACTTCGTCTTTAAGGCAATTGCGATAATTTAAGCCTCTACTGTACAGGTGAAGTTTAATGGCTACACCAGAAGTCGACAAATAATATCTCACGTGAAGCAACATTGTTTTATGATGATCAGCCTTGATGAGCTACTTCAGATGTCGCGTTTGCATGTTAAACATATGTTTAAGCCCATAAAATGGACAGTTTAAACTACATATACACCATTTAAAATTTTGTAAGGTCAGGATTAAAGATGGCGCAGTGTAAATTGCAGCATAAATTTGTGCTGAAGTGGTTTAAGCCAACTAGATTTGCAAATGGAAAAACAAGCTGTTTAACGAAATATGGCTTGGAAGGCAAGGGAGGACCTTACTGAACTTTGCATTCACATGAATTCGGTTATTGTGGCTTGACCATCCACGACCCACAGCATAGAACGCGATATATTTAGAGAAGCTAATAGACCTTTTGCATAATTTTCGATCCATGTCTTGATTGATGCAAAAAAATGAACACTTACTACGACATTTTGCATTCTCTAGTTCCTTACCAAAAATCAATCGGGCATTTAAACGTTAGATGCGCCTTGACCATTGAAGACTTACAGCAAAGAACACGGAATATTTAGGGAAGGTAAGTTTTGGTAAGTTTTTCGGCATTTACTCTGCCATCAAATTCACTTCCAATTTTCAAGTAAAAAAGTTAGGAATGAATAAATTTATAAAATGGAATTTTCTGGGACTTGATCATTTCGAGGAAGCAATACGTGCATAAATTTGGAGAGCAGCTAGCGAATCTTAACGACTTATTTCAGTCGAAATTCAAACTTTTACAGTAATCAACATGCTTGCTAACAAAGAAATCTAAACATTTTAATATCTACTTTGATTTGTTATAGCCAACATGATACGTCTTGATCTAAATATGCAATTATCATTGTAGTAGCATCTGAAATTCGCGCCCTTCCCCCGCTGACACGGACGCGCGACAACATTTGGCTGTTGTCACTTATTGCGGAACGAAAACCGAAAATCTTGGTCGCGAAAATGTTTAATCACGCCTGTACAGATTTTTGTTGTGATTGGTCAATGCGAGCCATCGCCTCATTGGTTGACAAATCTTGTCATGCAATTGGCTAATGCAATCTCTAGTTAGTAGATTGGATCACACACACATTTGTCATTCAGTCGATTCGGTGAATCGCCGTGTTCAAAGCTTTTGGTGAAACGCTACTTGCAACAGCATTTTTAAGTCTTCACTTGAAGAAAGGGATATAGTTGACCCAATGCTTGCTAGTCTACCGACGGGTTACTCCTCATTCATCGGGAATGAAGAATCAACCACATGGGTAAGCTAAGGGCTTGTTTTTTTATTTTGGTTTAAAAAATAAGGAACGTTTATAGCTTGGTTCCAACAGTCATCATTTTGTAAGCATTCACAAAGATTTCGACCAACGGAAAGATGGTGATACTTGATAAAATATGCGGAGATCTAATAATATTGTTTTTCTTATTTCGCTCCAGAATATTAAGTATACAAATCGACAAACCATCTTACAACCTTTTTAAAATACATGCTATTCTATTACTCTCCCATAAAGCGTGTCAGAACTTTCAATAAGTCGTCTTGTACTTCACAAAACGTCACAGGGCAAAGTATGTCTTTGCCATGTTGTTATATTTAAGATATTCACGTTTTGTAGGCTATTCGATCTCAACAAAACCCAAAAAACCTGTTTTAGAATCCTGTAGATTCCCTTTGCATAAATTTTGGTGTAGCACTCGATCGGTCGATTACGCTTACGAGAATTCAAGGGGATTGAAATCCAACTTGAGATATTTTGAAACCCACTATTGGAAAATCAAATTCAGTGTTCCCTGTTTAATTCCCAAGTAATAAAGCTTATAGGGTTGAATAATCACACGAAGCTATTTAAATGTTTTTATTTTCATGACAACACGTAATCGTCTGTTGACCTTAAGCTTCCTCCCCTTTTGGTGGCGTTACCCGCTTCCGATTAACACCTACGACTTGAGATATTTTTGTCCCCCATAGTTCCGGTTTTCAGGGGGGAGCCGGTCAACTGACGCAGATTCTGGTCCACGGAGAAACTCCCTAGAATCGAATTCTTCACCAGAACTTCCAGTGGGTCGTAACTCTCTTGCGTCATGCACAAGGTGGAGTTTCAATGGGAGGGCTAGTTGCTTTATTCGCGAAGAAGAGAAAGATACTATTTTTATCTTCAATAAAATGTCCTACAAATTATCAAATCCTGAAAAAGTCGAACAGTCTGGTTGCTCAACCATAGCAAAAGAAAAGTTAACCCGAAGCAAATCAGCAGTAGAACCAAGAAAAGGTGACATAATGCAGTGCAGGCGACCTCGATCTGGCGGTAAGAAAAGCGATTGGTGTTCTGAGTTTCATTTATGTTAAGCATTCTGTGCTTGCATGAATTTTGCTCATTGCTTAAATCTCCCAACATTTTAGAATTCAAGTTGACTGATATTAGCTCTGTGGTACGACGGGAAGGAAGTTTAAGAACGCTGGATAATGAATGGATTTCTGGAAGTTCTTTACTGCCACGAGATAAACTAAGAAGCTTGTCATCGACCAGTGGTACAGCAGAATCCACGGAGTTTTGTCCAGCTGTAGCAAGTTTGATGAAAAAAAGAATAGAGATTGAGGGAACGTTGAACAGCCTACAAGTTCAGTTGCTGGAATCGCTTCGTGAAGAGTGGGTATGTCTTCTACAAAATATTTACAGATATTTCTCTAACTTCTATGATACCGAAGAGATGGATTTATTTACTTATCAGGGAATGTTAATCCTTGTAAAGTTTGTTAGGGTTACTGTGCAGATTTATTTATAGACCTAAACCCAACGGACAGTTTCAAGCATTGTATTTATCCGTGCTTTTATGGAATTAGATTGTTAGAAAGGTTTCGCCGAAGCTTGAGCACAGTTAAGCAGTCACGTATGCTATATTGTGGCTCAGTTCAAACAGCGATTTGTGATTAAAGTTAATGCCATTAGTAGGCGATAATTATAGGTGCTATATAATCCAGCTGATGTGGAAAGCTTCAGACGAATACAATAGCTCGGTCGATTTCACTGTCCATTGATCAGGGCTTATGGTGACAGCCACTGCACATTCATTTGTGCTCAGTGGATTGCCTGACAAATGCACTGAACACCTTGTTCCCATCGCAAACCACCGAATAAACACGAATGACCTGCCCTTTCGATTAAACAACGCATGTTTTAGTGTGCAATTGAGCTGCGCAAACCGGATATGCGCATTCACCCTAGACAGTGCAAAACGATTCCATGCATAAACAAATGTGCTTGCTCTTTCCCTCTGTTTGTAAGTTGCTATGCAAATTTTTTCATCATTTAACCACATTTATTGTGGCCTTGGCGTTTCACATGTTAAGGGATTTTCATATTTTATATTACTTGTAAATAAGGCGAAATTAAACATCCAGCAGTCTCTATCACAAAATACATTTTCCATTAAATATATAATTAATCTGAATAGTGTGAAATTCTTTGGTTGGGCATAAATACTATTCGCTTTTAAGCAATATTAACCTAGTATGATGTAGGTTTTTTAACGAATTGGACGTTCTTAATGGTAAAAATCTTCACTTTAAAATTAATGCAAGCGGACATTAATTTTTCACTAATCCGAAACCTCTAACCAATAAACACGTGTGTTATATTGATACAGATTCTGACTGGCGTTATACCAGACGGTTATGAAGAAATTCAATCTCAGGTGATTGCTAGCAACCCAAGACTTAAAACGACATCTTTCCCTCTTGCCCACCTACTTCCACGCGATCAAACAGAATCGCAAGTTCAGCCAGGGACTGTAGAGAAAAAGGTTAGTTGTTCTGGAGCTATGTATTGTCTTCTTTCAGACTCACCCCTGAAAAAGTTCTAGCTATTAAAAAAGGCCAATAGTGATGGCCTAGTGATCTTAGAATTGTGGGTGCTATGGTCGTTGTGGAACCAAGCCTCCGATTGATTTATTGGTTATGTTTATGTTAATGGCAAACTAGCCACCATCCGTGGTGCTTTCCAAAATTTAAAACATGTACATTCATGTTAATAATATCATGTGATGCGACAACGGTTTGTGCTTTTTACGCCGACATTTCGATAGAATTAATGAGGAGCGAATTATGTGGGAATTTAAAAGTCGGGGGAGTAGTGCCTTCCTTTACTTCACTCCCCTCGAACGCTTTTTGCATAATGTAAATACAATCGACGACCAGTTAACTATTACGCATTTAAATACCACAAATCACCTATATTGTAATAAGGTCAACAGATCTAGATTGCTCATAACGCAAGTAGTTGTTCATCATAGATGCAGTCAAACTCAACATCCGTGTGCAACGAAGCAGGTACAGATACGGTCGCATCGCTAGATGACAGCATAGTCAGTTATGATTATGCCAACTACTGCCTTACGGATTCCCTTGACTCATCAGTTTCTTCGGCCTTGGAAGACGTGAGTTCAGCGAGATTTTCCTGATTATAACGTATTAACAGATTATACTTATGTATTATCTTTCTAGCTAAGTCAATCTATCCACTGGTCACAATGCGACAATGCATCCATTACGAAAGTCGACAGTTTTTCCGAATTAAAACCAGATGAAGCACGAGAGAAGATTAATAAGAAACTTCTGGCTCTAGAACAAGATTTTGCAATACTTACTCAACTTTACCGTGTCCACAAACAGCAAGCAGTAGAGACAAACAGGGCGGCGTTTCGCAAAGCTTATAAGTGCAATGCTCACAAGGTGGGTCCAGTTTTGGAAACATTATATTTATTTTTAAAAATCTAACATTGACTGTTTTCTAGTTGAAAGAAATAGGTCGTGAAAAGGCTGCTTTGAGAGAACAGCTTCGGAGGCTTGATGTAAAGATTTTAAGGTCGGACAGCCTCTTGACAGATGAAAATTCACAGAACACACATCAAGACAACAAACCAACTCTAATCGATGTGCCAATAGTAACCACTCTTCCACGGCGTAAAACTCTTCAATTTCCGTCTTTATCTGCTGCCGCTACGATCCGATTCGGTGGCTGGAAAAAGAGACTTACCTTAAAAAATCCAGATCCTGAGGCTTCCACGAACAAACCTGGCCGACAGGAGAACAGAATAGAAAATGGTGGTGTGGCTGCCACTACTGCTCATTTCGCGAGACCAAGGAATACTATTTTCCCATTGATATTCCGATTACCGAAACGTCAAAGCACCACCAAATCAAAAATTGTATCTCAGATGTGCGAGGATTCGGATGCTGAAAAGAAACATGTCGACCAAGTTGGCCAAGCATTATTAAGGGTAAGCAATATTCGCATAGAATAGTTCATACAGCTATTTTGAGATGATAAGACCAACGGGCTGAATGTTATTCACTATTCACACATTGAATTTTGGCTTATGTATTGTTCTTAATTAGAAGGATCTGTGTTCTAAGAAGCTTGAGGCCTCTCAAATCCAGCTCGCTTTTTCACTGTGCTCGTTTAGGATGGAATGATAATGTTTGCGATCGTTAACATCATTTGAGTTTCCCTTCTTCATCGGCCAACCTAGAGTAGTCAGTGGGACTTCCACTGGGGCAGAAATTGAAGATTATGGAGTTGATAATTCAATTCATCGATTTATTTTTAAGAGATGATGTCTTCAATATTAAATTGTCTCTTATGATAAGCCCATGGTGCTTTAACCATTCACGTACTACCATAGTTAATCACATCTATGTGCAATTTTTAGCCGCACTCATCGCTTGAGGCTGCTAGTCCATGCCATGAAAACGGATTTTCACCTCAGCTCAGTGAAAGACGGATCCGGAAATCAATCTCATCTCCAGGTTTACACGACGTTAAAACAGACAAACATCCACATGAATGTATGTCAGACTACTCTGAGAGGAACAATGAATGGTAGGTTTTGTGTCTATAGATGTGTTTTTGTTCATAAAGCTTGGCAACAAACACTAAAATACGAGGTTGGGATAAATGCATGAGCTCAGTCATGGTCAGAATTTGCGACCGAGGTTGATTGGAAAACCTCCAACAGAAATGAACACTTTCTAGATAGATTTGTAGCGAATTTTAGAAAATAAACCCAGCTGCATAGTGCAATTTGTTAAGCTGGTTTCCAAAAAAACTTTAACCAAATATGAAACGTCATTTTAATAGTGGAATAAAAATATTATACACAAAATCTAGTCGTCGATTAATCATAATAAGATAGGGATAATTGCACTACTTTCGTTTTAACACGCTTTCCGTTTCAGTAAATTCTCTGAATTAGACGAGAAGTCTGCAACTCCCGAGTGCTACACATCTGGTCAAGACATATTCACCGGGAACTCTAACTGCCTACCCACCACAACTATCCGTTGTTCATCCGGCTACCATTCAATTACGTCTCAGACTTCCGCCATACCAGCACCTCCTTCGTCACGCACCGCGGAAGTTTGTCTACGCCGACCTGCAGACCTCAAACCTGCGGACACCTCAATTCGCTGCATTTGTAGCTGCGTCGTAGAACATAATTTTAACAAAGGAACATGCGGGTATTGCGATGAAGTGCAAGGGAAAAAAGGGGCCACAAGAGTAGAAGAGGTGTCGAAAACTCCTGTGCCTAGTAAATGCGAACACTTAGAAATGGCGACAAGAAAGCCAACACGGAGAAGTATGAATCCTCTTGCCTTTTTCCTCCCACAAGTTGACAGTCGTAGAAAGAGGACCCCTCTATTTCAGCAAAGAAAACATGAAGACATCCAGCCCTCAAAATAAAGACGTATGCTAACCCACAGATGGGCTGTGATTAAAGACAGGATTTACAGTTTTTTTGAAATTTCCTACCATGTATGTGTAAATAGAATGTTTTATTTTGAGCTACTTGATTTTGTACTATGCATTTACAATCAAAGAAGACAAAGGGAATGCGCAGCCATTACAGTATCGTAGTATTTATTCCAAACAGGGACTGCTGTTTTTTTTTTGCAAGTTGAAATATTCAGTTTATTAAGCCGTAGTAAATTTGCCGTATTTAGCTTAATAACATAAAAACGTCTGTTGAGGTCATTAATGCATATCAAATTAAGCAACAGATTACAGAAAAAGCGTAAGAAATTGGGTAAGCGTAAAACAAAGATTGTATATCGGAAAATAAGAAGCAAAGCAAAAAACCTCATTTTCAGAATGGCCTTGTCCAACTAACTGACAAACCTCTAGATGCCGACAGGATATTGATAGGAGACACCTTGACAGGCATTCCACAAAAATTATAATTAAAAACATTCAGGATCACGAGGACATAACCTAATCAATTTCATTGAGTTTATTTAGAGGTCCGAGTAACCGCTCTACGATATTTTGAAAATTATAAAGTTCGTTTCCGACTAGCACTTGATGCACAAGCCCATCCATAATTCAGCATTTTTAACGGCAAACATCGTTAATATAAATCAAAATTTTCACCCTATAAATAAATGTATTTTACGTGTCAGGGGTTATAACATATAATACGACAGGTAGATATTATTATCAGATTAACCAAGATCGTCTCAACTGAAATTAGATAGAAAATATAACCAGGATTTATAAAGTCCGAATCATGGATGGTAAAACAGGCTTTTAAATTCGACGAACATTCAATAACTAATACGTTCATTAACTGGCATAAGCATGCTTGCTATAGATGTTTAAGGTCTTCTGTTACCTCAATAGAAATCTCACAAATCGAGAAATAGAATTACAAGTACAAGTTTAATCGAAATTGCAGTTCTTGCTAAATGCATCATGCACCAGGATCAGTTTAAAATATTTCAGATAATGTTGAGTTTCTTATCAGTTTAAAAACTTGTTGTAAGGTGGTGAGGATAACGCACTTTGTTTCATAAAATGATATAGCTTTACTAAAGCCACTGCATGAAAGATGAACAATTAACCAGAACTACCTTAATTCTTGTTTTTTGTTCCATAATAACTTAAATAAAATTTCATACGTTTAACGTGGTGTTGCATATAAAAGTTAAAACACACGTTTAATGTATCATATATTAAAAAAATTAGGAAATCTGCTTTTGAAAATTTACAGTTGTTTAAATGTGTTTGATTAGATTTGCGTGTAATGATTTCTAATGGGTGAGGAATGACGTCGTTTTTCATAATTTTTTTATCGATTAGTGATGGCTACTACTTAACAATAAAATGAAACTGCAGATTAGCCATGTTTAATCGTTAGCTGTGGAGGTTTGTTTACGTGGGCGGTTTACATGGTGTCGTTAATTCTCTAAATGTCCGTTTTTCTTTGCGTGACGAGCAGTGTGGTTCGGGGTTTCGGAATTGGCTGGTTTGCGTTCATAATACTATCTGTAAGTGCAGCATTTGTAATACTGCTGGCCTTAGAGCTGGAAGAATTTTGGAGAGACCACAAATGGCGATTCCAAGCTAAACGACAGAACTTATTGTAGTAATCGAAGCGCTTAGCCTAATTGTCTCTATGCTGATCGATTGGAGTATGGAAAGCGAGTTTCAGTTTAGAAATTTGTTTCAAACTTTTGGACAATTGAGGCTATTTTAAAATCGTTGAACATTTTGGAAGATGTCTTGTTTTTTTCTTCGACAATAATGGCATATCCTCCGCATGGCCTGCAAGCCACCACAGGGACTTGTTTTCACGCATTTCGTATCTTATTTTTGCCGTGCTAATTACGTAAACAGTGCTTTTCTGCAAGCCTGCTATTTCTGCAGCTTCTAAAATAGCGATTTAAGTGATTAAGATTTGTTTCCGAGCCAAACAGTCGCATACTGCTATAGAGTAAGAATAAAATATATTTTTGTACACAAACTTAAAAAGTCATTAATATAATTCGCACCGAAAGTACGGAAGTCTCTGTAATCCATTTGCATTAATAGCCAAAATTGCAAATTATGATGGTTTAAAGATGAACAAAATCTACCGAAGTGTGTGAGGGCGGCCTACCTTTTAATAGCTTGAGATTTGACTTTGAAAGGTGCCTCCACTAAAAGTGCTTAAGTTCATAGCCAAGTCATTTTATTAAATTACAAGTAGATCGTTTCAGTTCCTCTCAGAAAAACGCGGAATTTAACCTGAAATACGCCTGAAATGGATCGACGTGGTTCACAAATAGTTGCTAACTGCTAAATTGGGTTCCTTGTGTTGATATAAGAAGTATGTTTATTTCGCAGACAGGCTGACCCATCCTACAGTCCCACTTGTACTTAGGTTATTTTTCTGTGGTGTAAATAAGTTACCAAGTTCCTTTGATTAATCAGAGATTATGTAATTAAGATTTTTCATTAAGTGAATTATGACTACTAAACATGATAACACCAAATGGGGAACTGTAATAAGTCACCGTGATTTTAAAGGTATTTTGTTCTCAGTCGTCAAACCCCAAGAACCGTACATTTACTAACTTCACGGTTAGCATCATGGTGATCTTGCTCCAGTGGTCCATATCCGGTCATTATGATACTTTTCATCGAAGTTCAGCAAATCCAAACTTGTCACCTCAAGTAGTTGCAGACGGTAATTTACGTAAAATGCTAAAAGCAGCGCAGGCTTGTGGTTTAATAAGGCCTTGAAAGTAAGCAGCTTTAAATGCATTTATCCATGCAATCCCCCTTTTCTGATATTTGCAAGCGGGGTCCTGCTTTACGAATCAACATGAATGTTCACTATTTCAAAATGTAGTAAATGTTAAACGATGAAAACAGGCGGCAACTTAGTTCTTAAATATTTGATCTTTAATTGCACCGATTCTAGTGTATTAAGGTGTGTTTTCTGGTGGTAAATCCATCAAATCTGAATTTTTAGTTGACCATAACTTTAAATAATGCCCACTTTTTCAGCGACAACGCCCCTCCGCTTACCAGCAATCCCTTCACTACGGGAGATAATTCGCATCTATGGCCTGCGTGCTCAGAAGCAGCTCTCACAGAACTTTCTTTTGCAACCATCCTCCATTAATAGTTTAGTGAATTGTGCGGGTAGCCTTCGTGATGCCTGTGTGTTAGAAGTGGGTCCCGGCCCTGGAGGCCTAACTCGTGCTATTCTTCGTCAGCGTCCTCGACATCTCGTCGTGGTGGAATTGGATCGACGATTTATCCCTTGTCTGGAGGAATTACGTCTTTCCGCTGCTGAAATGGGTGTGAAAATGGATATTTATCGAGGCGTAAGCGGACATTTGTCCCTTTTACTGTATCCAACGCAATTAGTATGAACTTCCTCCTAGTGTGTTGATTACGAGTTCCGACGTCAATATTCGACAAAGTTTGTGTTCTAGACAATTTTGACCTGATCCTGTCTTCCGGCTTTAATTACTTTAAATCAAGCCTACTTATAATTCTCACACTAACTGTATGGTTTTGGGCTGCCGATTCTTAACTCATGGTTATATTGACAGTGTTTTGCTTACTGACATTTGAGTCTAACTGCTCCTTAGGACATCCTCAAGATAAATACGGGAGATGTGTTCTCCATCTCAGGCGTGCATCAACCAGAGTCGTGGGGTTCTGGTGTCAGCGATGTGCCAGTAAAAGTGGATAAAGACTCGACAGCTCTTGTTGAAGCTAGCACCAACCGCCCACCTCGTGTTCGCATTATAGGAAATCTTCCTTTCTGCATTTCGACTCCACTCCTCATCTCATGGCTCGATAATATTGCTAATCGTCGACAGATTTGGCGTCTTGGGCGTGTGCCTATGACTCTTACCTTCCAGAAGGAGATCTGCGAGCGTCTGGTGGCGGACGTTTGGGATGACCAGCGTTCGCGTCTTTCGGTAATGGCGCAAGCATTTTGTGAGGTAAGCGGAAATAAATGCTACTGCACAAGTCGAGTAGTACCGCCTTCATTTAAGGCCTTCTCTTCTGTCATAATTTATTCAGACCTGTCGGAAATTTACAGCGTTGATTTTTAAGCAATCGCAGCTTAAGGATAAAACATTTAGACGACAGTGTTGTGAGGCAGCCTTAGTAAAATAAAAGTAGGCAAACAGATTTGGTGTTTGATCATAAAAAAAAACTTCTGAATGCAATATGAAGGAAGTAAGTTTATTTCAATTGTCGTCAGAATTGAATACCAGAAAGCTGTAGCTATGCCGTCGAGTGTAGTTCATGGCAAATGTACTCAAATATGGAGGTTTTCAGCTACACAATGGCAAAAAACACTGCTCAATTCGAAACAAAATTTTATGCACATTATTTCTACTTTTAAAGTCGCCTCGGGCGGTGAAAGTTGACAGGCGTTTCGTGTGTGACAATTATGTGCTTTCAGGTACTTGTGCATACGAAGTTTTTCTTTTGGGCGTGCACAGTTTTAGGAATTTGCGGTTTGTATCCCATTTACTCTTTTTAAGGATTTCGAATTAACCTTGTCAACATTTTTTGCTTTATGTGTCTTCTGCTTTTCTCAGCATATTTCTGTGGATTCAAATTAAGATCATCGCCACTAATAAATTTTAAGATACCCAGTGGTTCTTCTGAAGATTGGTTACTACGACCTCTACGGAGCTAAACGTTTTCGCTTGGTAGTCGTAGATGCACCATCGCCAGCATGCATATGCCCCCTATTTTGGTAATTTGTATGTGGTAAATAAATTTGCCATTCTAGTTCTAATTTTTGCCATTGACTTCTCAAAAAAAATTTGGTGTTAACAACTGAATCTTAAAATGTACAGCCACTGTTGTCTGTTCCATGTCGTAACTCCATTTATGTCAGGGGACAGCCCGTTCACATTTGTGGTGCTGACATGTTACCGGGTTGTCATTAAGGCTTTGTGTAAGTCTGTAATGAAAGCCGAAACAAGTCTTGTCTCAATGACATTGATTTGATCCTCCTCCGGAATGGCCATACCGACCTATTATTATTATTATTATTCGCGGTTTGTAAACTACTCGCTTAAATTCTTATGACGCTTGAAAAGACACAGTAGTATCAACGCGTGCCTTTCAGGATTTTTCACACAAAAGAACCATGTAGTCGCTCAACTTAGTTGTGCTTTGTTTGCCCCTCTCCGGGGCCACCTGCCGTTTCAGCTACTGCGGCATTGTGTGAGAAGCTTGCTATATTTTTGGGCATACTTTAAATTTTGCAACACTGTTTCAAAACGTCAGTTAAAATGTCAACCGTCCTTCTTGCTGAGCTTTGTGCCCTAATACTAATGGCAATTTTTCAGGTTAGATTTCTGAAGGAGATCCCTGGTTCAACTTTTGTTCCCTCGCCCAAAGTAGACGCAGGTGTGGTTCGTCTGATTCCTCTCGCTCGTCCGCTCATCTCTGCTCCCTTCCCTTATGTGGAGAAACTAGTTCGCCATGCCTTTCAGTTCAGGTACGCACCTCTACAGTGCAGAAAGCTCTTGGTTTTTTAACATTCCATGCGCTTATATAGACTCAACTGTTAAGTGATCAGCACAACTTTAAGTGGGTAATGCAGTACGAAGTCCTTACTCCAAATTCTTTACCCAGTACCGATCAACGCATGCTTCAGAAACCACGGTCTGCTACCGGAACATTGTTTCACTTGGCTTATTGTGCCTTCTCTTACCCAAAACGAATGTAAACCTATTTGTTTGGAAGTAGAATGAATAGTACCCAAAAACGGACGGGCATTGTATGTTTGAATGGAAAACATGTAGACGTATGAGCAGAAAAACCTCTCTGTTACAGCTGGAGTGGCTGCAGTTGGTTTTACTCAGACAACTCACGTTGTATTAGAAGCAATTGGAGGGTTGGCTCCTATCAATGTCGAGGCTAGGAGAGCAATATCAAACACTAAGTTTGTACAATGATTGTGGATATGTAAAGACTCTTTCGGGGTAAGGGTTTTACATGTACTGAATTCCTTCCAAGGTTGAAATAGCCTAAATGCAGAGTACATCCACTAACGCGGACTCAATACTGCTATCTCAAAGTTATCAAAAAACTACTATTTGAAATATACGTTGACGAGAGGTTTGTTGTGTGGGTTAGCCAGGAATAAATAATCTTTGTACGAATTCGAAGTTTCTCATCGCGGTGAATTTGTACGCAGACGTGCGCGACTTCTTCGACGCTGTTGAGGTCTCAAAATTTTTATCGTCATACAATGAGATGGACCACGTGGACCACACGTTCACACTTTTCCCTGCATATTTTTCTCATTAGCCCCTTTCGTCGTTATAGTACTTATTTGTGTTGGCTGCGTGAAATTGAAAGTGATATTGGTCTATGCCCGACTTGCACGGTCACCGTGGCTGCGGTGGGCTTGTATACACGATAAATATGTTTAGAAGTTGTTTTTGTTTCCATAACTTTATCATTTAAAACAGCGCTAGCGCGAAAAATGGTTTTAGAGAATGTCCTTCGTTTTGGGCGGTTCTTGAAACAACGATATAAGTCTACTTATCTAGTCAAGCGCATGCTGTTACCTTTCGTATGTCCGTAGGTGTCTTCGAAAGCCTTCGTCGTGCAGTCGTCTTTCGTTTTTTAGGATTCTGACTTCTTTGATTGAGTAGACAGTAATTTAATACTAATATCTTTTTATGAGAGACCGACGAATGTAGGGCAGTAAATATTCAATATGGGAATGCGTTTGGTCGCCTGATGTGGAAAAAGCTTCATCAACCTGCTTTTTTGAAATACGATTAACATAAAAGTAGTGCAGGCTAGCACATTAAATTGCATGTTCATCATCCTTATGAAACGATAACAACCCAATTTACGGTAAAATTCAAAGTTATACTTTGATCCCGGTATGCCATCAGTTTTCCCGACAAATGGATCTATGCGTTCATGTCAATGCTTACCCCTTGTAGACAGTAAAACTCCTTATTTGCTTTCACGGATGTCGTGTTAATGTATTGAAATATTATGTTAATGTATGGGAGGACTTCACATCGTAACGTCCACACAGGTAGGCAAAGCTGTTAGTTCTTTTTCAACAAGTCAGTCTGGGAGGCCTGTCGTCTCGCTTCCTTACTTTTAAAGTTAGTGTCCTGTCAGACAAAATGAGTTGTCCAGCTAAGTCGATTGCTTGTGTGGGAATTTCGCAAGCAAAATAATCCCACAACAAGGGATTTTGGTCCTGCATGCTTTCAAACATTGCTTAGGTGAGTTGACAGCAGTGCGTTCTGCCATTATCCGCATGTAAACAGCCTTCTGTAATGATGGTTTGGAAATGCGGCAAAAATGCGTGATGTTATTACTTCTGGATGTCTTGAATTATATCGTAGCATTGATTTTATCAGAAGTCAATTATGGGAGTGTTTTACTTTTCAGGCAAAAATTGATTGTCCGGTGCTTGGAAAGCCTATTTCCACCTGACCGACCTGATTTAGTTATCCGGTTGTTTAAGGAGGCGGCCGTCCAACCAATGAAGCGCCCAATTCAAGTGAGTGGTTTTTTCAAAGAGCACTTCCCGTTTGACTGGAGCAGAGGCGACAGGAATAAAGGCAATTAGGCCATTTACATTTTTGCAGCCAGGGGTCGTTTTGCTGCACCTGCTCTCGCCTTAATAGATTTTGTCAAAATCTTAAAGTGGAAAAATAATGGCAATTTCAGCCACAACATCATATGCTCTCTAAATCTACATTACGCACAGATTTTCAACGCTTTTTCTTACACCGCGAACTTGTTGGCTGTTCATCTTGACTGCTAACACGAACACATCAGGCTTAACCGGATAGTATCATGTGATTTTGGAATGTTGTTGCTGTGATACAATTTGCGCCTTGGACACAACGTCGGTTTACTCAAGATAGTGGTGGTCTTTCAATGAGAAATTTGAAGCGACATGAAGACTCGGCAGTAAATTCTGACCATACAAGTGTTATCAAAAGCTTCCACTATCAAAGCGTTCCAAAATATCCTAGACCTACTTAACTTTTTACATGAGCTGCGGTCTGAATTACTAAAGCGGTTGAGCCATTTGTCTCAATTTTGTAGTTGTTAGGACGAGTTAAGTCGACGTACAATGCAGTCAACATAATTACATAAAACCCAATAGTTTCCGCCCGAACAGTCATTGAAGAGACCATGTTTCATGCCGAGTCGCTAGGCTTATCGTACACTTGTATAATAAATACAAAAAGCGGAGGCACGTTCATTTTCGGCATCGTTAGGTCTTTACTCTGGAGCCATTTCGTTGAACAAGGCACACAATCAGCAATTTTTATGACCCTACCCGGGCCAGGATAGTTTCCTTCGAAAATGTGCAAACCTTAGAAAATTGAGCTCCCAATAATTCTACTCATGGTAAATTTGCACAATTCTCTATTGTTTCAGTTGAGTAACCTGGAGTTCCGTGATTTGTGTGAGACGTACGCCAGAATTTGTTCCACGACCGAAGGCATCTTTGCCTACGAATTTCGTACTCAGCAAAACCTGCCGAAGTGGCACACCAGGAAGCACACTCAACGGGAAATCCTCGGTCACACCATCACCGCTGACGTCGTTCGAAGGGAAATGTATTCATAGGCAACTTTTTTATTAGAAATTGCAATTGTAAATATTTGCTCAAATTGTTCATTTTTTTTCTAATGAGGAAATTATTGCAGGCTTGGATTGGGACAAAACGTAGTGTTTTCTCAATGTATTCACTGATTTCGTAAGTGGGGATGCCAGATGTTGAAATTGGCCTAATGCATGTATGGTGCACACTTACGTAGTACAAGTGGGTTAATGTCTCCGTTCTTTTGAAATTCCAAATTTTTGCAATTTGAAATTGTTGCGAGGCCTACAGTATTGGAAATGCCCATTTAACTTCCCCTAGCCAATCATGGTTGTACCTTCATTTTTCGGTCACATTTTCTTTATTCTGGTAAACTGGACAAAGTACACTGCTATTTTTGTCAACATCCTCATTTGTATCCTCAGCCGTAAATTGCACCTTCCCATGACCTACAGTAGTTTGTGATGGCTTGTAAACGCCCGTACTACGTAATTACGTCGTATGCTCTTATTACACTACACCTCAAATTGGGAATTCTTGTGCATTAGTAATGTTAATTCTTACTCAGTTGGGACATAAACTGTTGTAGCCTTAACCTTCGAGTGGAAGTTATCAGTTATTCCATAGAGATGAGCCGTGACGAAGCTACACGAGGTTTTTACTCAACGTTCTACCCTAAAATCTGTTCCTTTCCATGCATGAATTTGTGCGAATTTTAGCCAATTAAACAAAATCGACATAAATTGCATAGTTGAATATCACAGGTGAGCGCTAGACGACCGTACAATCGGAAACAGAAAGATATGTACAAGGCTGAGGGGCGGATCAGTTTGTCATGGAGCCAGTATTGGCGTTATTTAGGCGGCGGCACTGGTGGTGGGTGCGCATTTCGTGAACTGAAGTTGGTTCGGTTAGGTGCTTCTCGCTCTCCTCACTGTCGATCGATCTTGAGTCAAGTTCACCGATTGTTATTCGCTGGTTTTGATTGAGAATTTGTGTGCGTTCGTTTGAGGCGGAGCCATAAGCCGTTGTGGTCTTTAGCACGGGTCCTGTTGAGCCCTTTTGCTAAAACGGTAAATTAAGTAAAACTTGCACTTAGCCTGCCAATGTGGTTCTCATAGATTTAAATTTATAAAGGCCCTTATCAAGCCAGGCGACACATGAGAGTCCATGTAATCGAATTCTTACAAAGGTCTTATCAATCAAAATTCAATTAAAAAATCTGGCAACCATATGCTTGTTTCGTCCTCGAAGTAGCATCGAAAAAACGAGCAAAACGCCTTATGGGAAGAATTTGTCTGTGAAATCACGGGAACTTATGGTACTATGATCCTGTTGAAACAGTAGGTACGCTTCAACCTCGCAATCCCCAGACGAGCAATGCCTCAGACGTCCCACTAGATATTGGTGGTGCAAAAAAGTGCTCTGGGTGTTGTTTGCTCACCGCATTTCATATTATAAGCCTACGAACAGCATAATACTGAGCTCAAAAAAGGGCTTTCAGGTCATGACCTAAGACCAGTTTAGCTTTCTTCATTGAATACTTCGCCAACGATTTGCCGAATCGACCTAGTTGATAAAGAGCCTGAAGTCACTAAACATTTACAAAAGGCCTTGGTCTAACCACCTTGGTGACTGTCGTTGAGGGTTAAAGCGTTTTGTCCTAAACTGTTTTAAACCTCAGACCCAACGTGGCTTAGATTGTGATGAGGCTAAATGACGATGTCTGCTCCCGGCACAGTCGTCACAGTATTTTTATGGTGGATAAAATGGACAGCAATTGTTATGAGAATGATTTTGTTTCGGACTTACATTACCACTTGTTTTAGATTAAAACACAGTTAATTTTATACTTTAGAACCGTTTACTTTAAAATCTAAATCATACTATGTATAGAGAGGACTGCTTTGATTTAGACTATTGCCCGAAATTCCATTAAGCCATTAAAAGTCTGGTTAATTGTACTATCTGACCTAATGATGCTGCATGAGGTAGAAGGAGATAATGCGTTAATTCAAATTCGTGTAAGTCAATGAAAATTCGACCCACCCTCGCCAAACAGGAACCTTGGGCGCAGGCTGGCGCACCACAGCGTCCGTCGCAAATGATGTACTCGTTCCTCGGTAGCCCCGGATGGATATCGACCACCCTGTTCCCCTTGTTCATCCGCTCCCTCCTCCACGGGTGGAGCTCGTCTGCCTCACTCCCCGTGTCTCCGGTGTCGTCGAAGTGGTCGTCGTCCATGTCCGAGGGACAGTTGAGGCGCATCGTCTCCCGCCCCGCGTCAACCAGGACAGTGCGCGAAAAAACCACGTGTGCGCGGCGGGGACCGCGCGAGGACTGAGAAGGAGGTTGATGCGAATTATCGGTGCTCGGATCTGACGAAGGGCTTGAACCCTCGCCATCAGCTTTTCCGCGCGGTTTCATGGGTGGCTGCTAGAAATAAAATTTAGACTATCAAACTAGTCGGATCACGGATTAAACTTTGGGGCATGGGAACCGGTGTGCATTACTTTAACTGAAATAGTTTGCATCACAAACAACTTTGTTAGATTGCAACAGCAGGATGGGCCCTTGTGGAAGAAAAAAACACCTCACTATTAAAACCTTGTAATGCAGGTGCCCTAGCACCGTATTTTTGGACTCTTCATCATTGATATACCTGAAGTAATCTAGTTAGGATATTTTATATCAAAACAACTAAAAATTCATTAAGACGTCAGTAAAAACTGTCGATTTCAATTTTCGAAATGTGAATTGTAACAAGATATTCATAATTTTTTCGCATAAACATGGAAATGTATGTGTGTTGTTACATGTTCAATATAGCTTCCAGAATGTTTTGTGTAAACCGTACTCCAGTTAATTGTGAGCAGCTAGAGTGGAAATTGCGAAAACTAATTTTTCTCGTTTTGCCTGTCATATTTTTTTTGTTGAAGTAGCTAATTTTTATCAGTAAATACATCAAGCGATCAAAACGTATAATTGCTCTACTTAGACATAAATATGTCCATCTAGCCACACCACAACTTTGTAAATTGACCAAGTTGACGTCTTTGAAATAAGAATTCCTGCTTCGTAAGGTTCTTGAATTGGCAAGCATTAATTTACTGCGATGCTCCCTCTCTGCAAAATAACGATGAGAAACTCCATATTGCATTCATTGCAGTCTTCGAATATACTCAGAAAATGCGACCCTGATTAGCGCGGCCGTGAACCAATTCGGGGCAATCAAGCATTACCCTTGTATAAGTTGCCTAAAACTCAAACAACTCACAGAAAGTCAGCTCTGTAAAGTGGTGACGGGGTGTATTGGTGCAGATGAGTAAAATCCACTACGACTCCTACAACAACTTGCAGTAGTCCAGGTATTCATAGACTCCAGGTATTCATAGACTCCATCAGTTTTTTTGTTAACATCTCAAGGTTCATGGCATTCTCAGATTCGCAAGTTAATAGGCAGTTACGAGTATAGACGTGCGTTTACGAGATTTTTGCCACTATTCGGGTGGATTCTTATCCAGAACCTGAGTGGACATGAACACTTTCTCTAAGATTTTTTGCATGAAAACGCATCTTTTGCGACTTGAATATAAGCCAAAATACATGATGCAGCTCCATAAATATATCTCCCAATGTTACAATCGCGCCCCTTTATACTACCGAATGGAAATGTTCTTAAATACACTGATCTTCCACCGAATATCGGAGTGGACGCAGCATGTATTTGAAGTTGACGATGACGTGTAATATTCAAGTGGGTTTATTTCAAAAGGCATCATTAACTTCAACGGTAGCTTAATAGGATTGAGTTTAATGCTGCAGACGGCGTATGATTTATGCAAATAACGAGTCAACTAAAGCTGAATGGCTTTCATATTAACAGCTGTGCCAATTCTCAGAGCGAAAGGTTTCAAGCCCTACTCGTCGTCATGGTTAAATAAAAAAGCCAATATTTCCTAACTTAGACTGGTGTCTTAAAACTGAACGCTAGTTGAAGAAAATGAACACTTGACAAAATGATTATGTTGAAAACAGAAACAAGGCGTACTGAAAGTCTCTGTTTGAAATTCTTAGTTTCAGACTAACGCTGGCAATTCGGTTCCAAGGAAGGCTGCCAGTGTCTAACACTAGGCTAAAGATGCTCTGCGCATTTCGATTTACAAACATAAGAATGTTTATAACTTAGCAGTGAAAAATCGCAAAATCGAGTGTACTTTAGGACGGGATGATGTATTTACCGTTTCGCAAAAGTTATGACACTCTTCAGCCACCTTGACAGAATCCTGGTGGATAGGGCACATCCGAGACTCAATCGCATTTTTCGAGGAAAGGGAAAGCGAGGGAGGAATTTGGGTCGGCTCTTCTTCCCCGGACTGTTCTGAACACGGAGGGAGAAGTTGAAGGCTTAGCTCATTAACACGGCGAAGAATACTTTGCAGATTATCCTCGGATTGCTCCATAGACTTTTCCATGTCAGTCGAGTCCCTGAGCGAAACCAGTCTAATTCGTCGTTTACGGGTCTTCTCGTGGCACTAAAATATATTAGAGCATGCAATTTGAATCTAAAACTCGCCGGGGACATTACTAATGAGCAGAACAAGTGGGTCAGGTTATTCAAGTCATAAAATCAAGTGAAATACTGACTTCTACGATCCAGGTAGCTTAAAAATCCTAATTCCGGATACAAGTGTGGAAACAGTTGGCAACAAACATCGTTACACTAACCTAAGCTAGGAATGGAAGACATGTGGAAACTTTAAATTAATACTCTTTTGTTACCTTTGTAAGCTAACGTTTCTTGAAAACATTGTTTCATCCAAAACAATTGCTGAATGCTTCAAAAGACCTTAGCCTAATCATATTCTTTAATGAATATTCTTGTTGGCATTTACATTCGCACCTATACCGGTTATATGAGAGCCTTCCAAAAGCACAGCTAACCACGGAATTCGCATACTGCTAGGCGTTATGGAAAGATTTATGCATGGCACAAAAAAGTTCGTGAATCTCACAACTTGATTGGAGGGCAAGTCAAAACAGGTTTTTTCCATTGTCTAAATCATCTACTTTTTAGTCCTCAATGTAGCTGTCGCCACTGTGTCTGATGACGAATGAACAAATTCCGACCAACCGAAGAGCTTAAGTTTTCAATAGTTGTAAATAATTTTCAGCAATTGTCCTCGAATATACCTGCTGTTGCATTGATTCAGTGGAACACCATCTATGTGCATTTACACCTGACCGCAGCAAGGAATTTTTTTCTTTTGTTGTGTAGTCATCGATATTCTAATAAATATTTCTGTAAAATATGCATTAATTATAATCTAAACTTACTGCCAAGCCCATCATTCTAGCCTCGTGGTTAGGGACAATTTTGGATATTTGTTGCAGGTAGAGTTTCTTGTCTTCAGGTCGGGGATCTCTAATTGTTCGGAATGTGGGAACGTTAACGCTGATCCCGTTTTCCTGCACAGCCGCCAGCCTAAGGTAAGCGAGTCCACACTTAGCCAACACACAATGACTAGTTGTCATCACTGGAATGGAACTTACCGTTTAAGGGTGAAAAGTGTGCATGTGAGTTGCCTGCAAGTTGACAATGCCGCATCAAGCCGCTTAGGCTCGCCAGTGAGAAGTCTAAAACAGGATTTATATGAGTGCTAATGAAATTTTGTGCAAAAGACACCTATAAAAAAACAGAGAAACTTACACGTTTAGAGACTTGACTTCTGCATCGTTTGCGAGAGCCAGTAAGGTTGAAGCGCTGCAAAGTTCTGGAATCTGACCTGAAGTGCGAATGTCATTGAAGTGGAAGAATATTATAATGTCACGACTAATTTTAACTAAGCAGTGTAACGTCGTCAATCTAGACCATTCAACAGAATGTAATTTTGATAAATTTCTAACCGAATTTCACAGTTAAAACCGAATCGCATAATACATCGAGGAGAAGTATCGTCATAGAATGTTTTAAAAACAGATTTTTTTGAAGCGAGGCCAAACAAACAAAAACCCAAATTATTTTTGGCTACTAGACTTGGTTATATCAATTAAAGAAGGGAACTAAAGAACGAGAAAAGTTTAATTGGCTTAAGGATCATAATAAAAGTAGACGCAGACTTATTATCGACACTGACGAGTTCGCCACAAATATAACCTACCGCAGGAGGAGACGCATTTACCAAAATTAGACATTCCTTTTAAGAATCAAATATTGAATTTAACGTTGTTTTTAATCCCACGGCCTATTTTTATTGGATATGCAGCTGCATCAAGGGAATTTGTGGGGAGCGTGGCATAGTGACCGACTGAAAGCGTCGGTAATTTCACCAGCACTGTGGGCAACTTTTGGAACATCGAGAATGCTAATTTGGATTTTGAATCTGTAGATAATTTGTTAGTGATAGTTTTGCTACATAATGAGGCATCCATAGCATTTGGTTTTAACAGTAAACGAAGTCAGGCCGCTCAGCTCTTACACAGGAACAGCAGTCAAAATTACATGCAAAATCACCACCTTAATTGCCTTATTTTTTATTCATTGAAGTACTTTTACGAAATCCTGGCGATTACCTTTATGGATCGCTCTCTTCATACATTCCACATCAATAATATAAATTCGCTGAACCTAAACCAAGGTTAGGCTCAGAGTGCAGACCAAAACCGAAGTGTGCGTTTTGGAAGATTTGTTTAATTTCGTTCTTACTTTCCACATGTAAAGTAGCTGTTAATAATTTAATCTAGTTTACAAGTAGAGACAAAGCCCACCTTTAAAGGAAGCCAGTTTTTGACTGAGTCGACTGAGGTGGAGAGCGTACGCCTCCACTTCAGAAACGGAAACACGGCATCGTCGATTTAGAGCGTCCACTCGCAACTCCTCAATGCAGGACCCGAGATCCGCCAGCCACGTCTCGACTTCCTTGTAGCCAGATTTGTAATCAGCTATGTGGCTATCAAGGGCTAGTTGGGCTGACCTCACGGGTGTCATACCTTTGAGGTAGGACGTTTTGAGCAGAAACTGTAGAGGTGATAAGAAAAAACAGAAAGAAATGAAATAATTTACCAAAAGCATACCTAGAATCGGTCGGGATGTTATATTCAAAGCGACAAAACCGAATAAGGAGTTAATTTATACAAGCAAAATAATTTTTTCTTCGAAAATTTAGTCGTTTAGTTTCGGATTAATAAATGACAAGTTTGTCAAGCAACTAGGCCGTGATTTCACGCTGTTATCTTGAAACAGCCTACTGCACACTTAAAGTAATGTAAACAAAGCAAACAATTCACATTTTCGAAGCCGATGTGTCAAGCGAAGCCTTTTGTTCTGGTACTATCGAATTCCCAGATTTTCAGAACTGTCTCGGCAAAAAAGGAAATATTACCGTAATATTTCATAGCCTCAATGTCCTGGCAGTAGGAAAGCAGACTTGATTGGAATATGTCAATTTCGCAGAAGTTGCTGCTTCAAATTTAAACAGCTTATGTAAACAGAAGGTTGCGAGTCAGCATAAGGCATAACATTTATTTCAGACCGTGACATCGTTGAATTAACGCCACAATCAGATCATCGGTCCAGCATTTCGAGTGTCTTGACATTGGATCCGTTTGTACACCAATTGTTACAAATGAAAAATCTCATCCACTGAACCACGCCAATTATTCATAAAATTAGTCTCATTTGATAAATTGGACCTTACGAGGGTCCATTGATTTCCGCTTACATTTACGTCTGTGCTTTCAAACCCTAAAACATACCCCAAATTTCAGGATATTTTTAAAACCGCCTGCCGTGAAAAATTCAAAGAAGGCATTACGGGGCAAACAAAATCATGACTTAGCGTAATGAGTTACGGATGGCAATAAACCATATAATAATGTGCACTTAAGTAGAACGTGGCCACATTAATTTTTATTAGCATTGCATTTCCATATTGCAGAAGTGTGTGAAAATGAGTACAAGAGTTATGCACAGAAATCGGGTCATTACCACAGTTCGATCACTTTCACGCATTATAGCTCACGGCAAAATGCTTTAAATTATGCAGAGGATCAAATATAATTACACTAACATGATCTGAGTTTGCACCAGTGGGATGACATATGTCCTTACGCAATTGTGTTGTTAAATGGCTTGTGGTCCTGTTTACTCGAGTACTATACATTTACTAGGTCAGTGGAGGCGATATACGTGAATTAAAACAACCCTCACAACATCTGTCGTTAAATCAACCAGAGATACCAGGGTGTGACAAGTCTGATCGACTGCTGGCCATTAATTAAAAATTTGACCCCCAAAGTGTCATTAAGTGATGGTGCTGCTGTCACCACTAGGGTTGTCACGTGAAAGAACAGCGATTTAGTTAAGATGAGGTCATTGCGTGGCCACCCAGCCAACGACTGTGTGCAGTCCGGTGCGGCAAACGCCAGTTGGGCACGTGGTGAGAGCCGAGGTGGGCTACGCGAAAGTCGTGGGTGGGGTGGGGGAGCACAGAGTCATAAAACTGCAAGAAAGTGTGCGGCATGGCGGCATTTTTAACGGCAAAGCATAGGTCGCAGTGTTGTAGGGCCTGGTAAACACACACACTGACCTTGGAAAATACTAACAGCTGCTCTTGAGACTGTCATCAAAGAGCTCAACAAAATACGCGTAAAATCCAGCGTTTCTGGGAGCACCTTATGCATAATTTTTGGTGCCATTTAACTACTTGCCCTAAATTAGAGGGCCCCATTTATTTTTAACGATTAGAGAAAACCGGCGCTGTTGATTTTGCAATAATTTTATTTGCCATATGTAGTGGTGTCATTCAACATACTTTTAAAATGTCTAACATTGTTAAAATTAATCTACCAAAAGACCACCACGAAATTGATATCGGAAAACAACAGAATTTTCGGCTATGTTAAGCGAGCGGCGTGATGAAAGCGGAATGATTTTAGGTGTCAGTACCAATCATGGAACATCCGTGACAGTCTCCCATTTGCACAGAGCGACTTTTTCCCCAAGATTTAGATGCGCTTTTGTCCAATTTGTCAGACCACTTCCGTGTTTTTGTTCGAAAAAGTCAAGTGAGTGAATTGTAAATTTTGATTGTCATTGAATGTTTTTTTGCCGTAACATGAAGAACAGGGATTTAGTGTTTTTGCCACGCTCCATTCCAAACGTTATCTTTGTTTCCGATATGTTGGATTACCCATTTCAAAATCACAGTTTTTTAACCGTATTTTTAACATTTATTGGATGAACTCACAATCATTTCATCCATTACGGTATTTGTGAGGACATGCATTTGTCGGGAATTTGCAGCATGGATCTGCTTAAGTCCGTCTAGGTTGAGACGGAGGTCTTTGAGCCCCCTGTAGGCCTCCAAGAGACGTTGTTGTTTGGACAAAGGAGCTGGAAAACGGGGAGTCCGTTCCTCCTCAGTGAAACATTTATTGGTTGCCCCGCAGTGAGTGGCGGTGCAATTGACCTCAGGGATGCTGGGGATGACGCTGTTCACTGTTTCATAAAAGTACAGAATTTGCTGCTGTCATATGTACAATGTGAAAGAGCTGCAAGCATCCAACATGATTTGTTAAACCCCCTAGTTAGAAGCATTTTATTTCTCCAACTATCAGAGCTTTTCATTAAGATAATCGAGTTCCAATTTCATTGGCTAGTGAGTTTTAGCAAAACTGGTCAACAGAATGGCAATCGCTTACGTCTTTTTCCTGAGGGGCACGTAACCTTCACTGGGTGGTTCTTTGTTCCACTTGGCGGGTCTGAGCAATCCTCCAAACCGCCCTGGGTCTGTACCGCCTGAGCCCAGGCAGTTAGCTGAGCTAATTGGTTCTCCATGTAGGCTATTCGGTGCCTAAAACGATATTATAATGCTATTTTGGCTTGGGGTTGCAGCAATCATCGATAGACTCGCCTACGTAGATTAGCAAAAAGGCAAACTATACATATTTTCAGCCAAAGAGAAAAAATTAACTGATCCAAAACCAGGGACGTTGTCTATAAACTAGTGTTCTAAATTTAGCCTCTTAAAGGCCACCCGCAAAATGATCACAGAAGGATCAGTTTATTGCACGCATTAATATCCCTTCATTTGATCGCATTTTGTAAGAATAAAATAAATTGGGCACCCATGAAGGAATTGGTTTGAATCGCCATTCGTTTTTTCAAGATTTAGACGACTTTATTTGCGGAACCAACTTAATCAGTGAAAAGAGAACGGGTGAATTTCGCGTCGCCCTTTTGCAAAAAAAACACGGGAAAAGGAAAAGAGCTGGAAATAGAAAGGTAAGACCCAAAACGTGAACAACAACAATTGCCGAGCCAAACTTACTGTGCCTCTTCCAGCGTCTGAGGCGGTTTGGTGGGTCGTTTTATTTGTTCATTCAGTACTGACGCAAGGAGCACGTCAGGAGGCACTATGCCCTTTCGAAGGGAGGGGAACGCATTCGCATGGCCACTGCCACCCGAGGAGTCGGATTCCTGAAAGGTCTCGCTACTCTCTCCACTAGGCGAATTCTTTTGGTCAGTTTGGATCGCCAAGTTGGCCCATCCCATGCAGGGCAGAGAACCGTGGACGCTGCTCTTAAGTCGTCTTGCTACCTCCTCGTCACCTGGTTGGATAGTGTGATTTGTGCCTTCCAGTTGCGACTGACGTAATGCTATGTAAATGATACTTTCTTTTTAAGGCAAGTGGAAATTGGTATGCGTAAAAATTGGTGCAAATATACGAATAAGGAAATATTGATTGATTTTTATTTTACTGGAACTCAGAAACTGTAACACAGCCCTAGGGCTTTCGGAGCCCTAGAGTTTTTCATTGAACGAGACATAAGACAGTCTGAGGTCAGTTACTATGCTGAGAGGCGAGATCTAGTGGCGAATTGGGAATAATCTATGCGTGAATGAATACGGGTGAAAGCAATATTCAACTATATTGTGCAAGTATGTGTGTACAAAAAAACAATCAGTTTGAAATGAACCATTTAATACGACGGCGTGAATATTTCAAATAATTGATAATGAGAATTTTTTGAAATCGGAAATAACACTAGGTGTAACCTGCATTTCTAACGCATCAAGTTGACGGAAACTCACACAGTCACACATGTTTTAATCCAAAAACCAGCAAAGAGGGTACATCCTCGGGGATCTAAATTTATGTCATCACTGGTTTCTGTAAGCTGCTCTAAATTTCAGACATATTGTAGTAGTTTAAACTTGAGCAACGCCATCAAGCCGGATGCAAAGCACACTTATAAAACAAACTCAAAAATTCATGGAAAAAATTCGAAAACGACTTGAACAGGCCAAAAACAGGCTGAGTAAAACAAATAAATAAATATGATGTTTCAATTAGGAAACCGAAAAAAGGAACAAAATTAAATAAATGAATCAGGACCGACTATTCGAATTGACCTGTGGCAGTTTTAAATTATTATCGCCTACTGGGCACTAGTCGAAATTCATGAATAAATACTAGCCAGCTAACGTAGTGTAAAATAAAGGTCATTTATCGGCAAAAAATACACAAATCACCCACCAAAATATATCCTTATACTGTAAAAAATATTTACTGCGCAATAGAGTAATTGTGGTTTTGATCTAGTTAGTTCTAGCGTGAATGGATTGATTCAGGTATTGCAATGATTTGTATTTACGCCTTCAGGAATAAGTTAAAATCAAGTTAATTAATTATGCAAACCTGACCAAGCAAGTTGCCTAAGTAAAAATTTGACAGTGAACTTATCCAAGTCAATAAAACTTGAATGCCAGTTTTGTGAATCATAACTGTTCATGTAAATATCATAAGTCACTTGTTTTCGAATAAACCTCCCACTGATTTATACACTATGCTTAAACACACAGATTGCGGTTACAACTTCCCCTCCCATTGTCGGTAACCGCGTAGATTTGACATCATCAAACATGTAAAGGGAAAGAGTGGATTCAAATTAGATCGTGATTTTAAAGTCCGCACATTCTGACAAGATATGAAAAATAATGACAATTAATGGAAACGACGTAAAGGTTGTTGTGAATCGCGTACTTGTTCATACTTGTTGATCCGGTCACTCCAGCCTACGACGCGATGTCCCCTTTTCACAGCATGCCGTCGGCCGCGCGGAGCCTCAACTCCCCGCTCATTAGCACGAACGAATACCCTGGATTATCCCAACACCTAGGTTTCGATTTTAGTAGATTTACGGCTCACGATGTTTCACACACCGTGAGCTATAAGTACACACGCGCAAACGCCACCCACGATACAACGATACTAACTTGGTTGAGCTCTGAAGTAAACGCTTGTGTCCACGTTCTCTCCGATCTTCTTCATCATCGCGGGTAGCAGAGTAGCGTAATTAGACAAGATCCGACTCAGTGGCCCCGGCGGGGTTAAAGACCACATGCTGGGGCCCACAACAAGGTAAAAGTTTGGAAATAATGGTCAGTTATTTAATAAATCAATGCCTGAAATTGGTTTTAGTTGCCCAACGTGTCAAAATTTGCATGCGCACTGAACAGAGGGCGTTGGAAGATACCGGTGAGCAAGTAGTTATTTGAATTAAACGTTTCTTTTAATAAGAAAAAAAGGGATAGATAAGTAATGGCTAAACAGTTTGTAGATCTTAATTTACCTTGAAGGAACCTTTAAAACTCGGACATGATCACACTAGGGGGCTTAAAATCGAACTTCCAAAAAAAACTTTATAATGGTTTTAAATGTTAAAATAAGATTAAGTTGGTTAAAGTCTCATTATTTGAGTCGCGATCAAGTCCAGTGAGCCACCGACTTGTGAGTTGCATGAGGGTAGCCTTAGTAATTTAGGGCATGTAAACACTGAAATTTGGTTATCCAACAGTCAACGGATTCCTCTCCATTTCGTAAATTAAACTGCAACAGTGATAAATAGCCTTTTTGGTTTTTAGGCAAATTTCAAATTGTGGACGACATAAACCATTTCTGGGTTTTGTGGTGTTGCGAGTACGCGGTGTAGAAGCACATCACTTTTCGTCTTCTAATGATAAATTCCCGTTTGTTTTAAAAAATTAAACAGCCTACTCCGAACTCCTGTCACCGACCACGTCGTGGAAAATCATGTATAATTCATACCCAAACTTTTGTGGTTAGTTTTACGACAACTAAGGTACGGAGTTACATCGACTGTGGCAATTTTCTCAGGACCTGGAGTTTGAAATGTCAATACACAGAAGTCCATTAAATATCCTTTTGTGTAAATTATATTAATGAGCATTTATTTTTTTAAATGAGATAATTTTTTTCTTTTGTGATTGGCATTTTGAATGCCAATTTGGCATTAATATTACTTTATCTTTGGTGATAAAGGTGACGGAATAAGGCAATTGGGTTTTTTCTGCTAATAATAATACCCGAACCTAGTTGCATGGGTGACAGTTTGGAGATTTCAGTACATCTTGCCAGTATGCACATGATACGGCTTCATAAAGATACACCTCGATAAATGACTTTTTATACAATACATAAGCATGCATTAGCTTAAATAATGTTGCGGAAATTTAAAAAAACTGAAAGCAGCCGAGCCTAAAACTAATATAGCATTTAATCGGCTGTCCAAATTTACCAAAAAAAGCAGTTAGCTTGGTTAAGAAGACAAATCAAACTTAATTAATTTGGGACTTACTTAGACGACTACTTTTTTTCTTTTTAACTCACAAAATTATTCTGGCTGAATATTGCTACCGATTTTGGCCCCTATATTTAACCTCAGTTCAAAACTCTAGCTGTTGCGGCATGCTCAGTGCAGATTTTAGTTAAATTTGGCATCTGTTCACTTAACTAGATTATAAAACGACAGCGCAGGAGGTAGCAAACAAGTACGCGAGTATGAAGAGGAGAGCAACTGCTCTTATATAGTAACATTAATGAGATCCTAAGCCCAATCTATGTTTTATCTTTTTAATACCTTAATTTAAATGAAACGAAATATTGTTAACATTCTTTTATGGACTTAAACCCAAACTAGTTACAAAATTTTTAAAAAAAAATTAGATTTGACAATTAAGTAAGCCTGACCTTTTATGGAGTAAATGTCACACTAATTCGACAAACAAAGCGATAGGAGCAATTTTTCCCAAAGAACGCTGGCTATTTAGGAATTCTTATGAGTAGAACAACGCATTTTTGCATATTTGAAGACATGAAATTCGAGTATTCCGTATTCGGAAGCAGTAACACTCAAATCTTCTTGGCAGGCGTTTCTCATTGAAATTATCATAATGTGGAAGCTAACCATCCAGAAAAAGGACTTACGTGCATTACGGACGTTGAACCTGGCGTTCACTACAAAATTGTGGCCTTGGATGGTTTATTTATTCGCTCTCTAATGTTACTGCGGTGAACAGAGCTGACGTAGCCTTATTCAACCGACAATCCATTTACTGCATTTCGGATTTGCATAAATGTACCAGCTATGATTTGGTTGTTAGTTCTTACATTTTCATTAAAAAAAGATTGAATTAAACGTTCAAATTGTGAAGCAACACAATCATTTCACTAAACCGCAGCTGAATTTTTCAAGCAATTGGTTTGGTTGTGGAAACAAAAGTTATTCCTGGCAGGACCACAAAGAACTAACCGAGAAAAGTAATGACGGTCCGTGTTTTTGCTCAAGATTAAACCTATTTCCACAAAAATCCTGGTGAATTAGACTTATCCTTAAAGACAAAGCCTTGGTAAAATAAATGAACGATTTCTTTTGTCAACTGAAAACTGATAACGCATGCTTGGCTACGATGATATTATGGAACCTGGAACATTAACCACGCCAGAAAATGCGTCCCTAAGAGTTTAATTTCATACTGATGCTAGGTAATGATGCCAACCGATAGTTTGAAATGAATCGAATCTAACAAATCAGGTGTGCTTTACAAATAACAGTTTTAGAAACTGATGAATTAGTCTTAGTTTTCGTAGTCTACTATTGATCCGGGTTGCCAGATTTTTCGAAAATCAACAGCAACATCCAAGTGACATTATGACTTAGTGTCTATTAATCGAGTAATTCCTCTTAATACTTAACTGTCTTCTGGAGAGTATGAGAAATATCGAAATTAGAATTATTTGGAAGAAATGGGTCGAAACGAATACGGAAAAGAACGCACGAATTAACTTCAGTCTAAACCCAGGACGTTCGACTCCTGGTTAAGTTTCGACCAAATTGCTCAAGAAACCAATTAAGCGGAGAACAGACGTAATTCCAGACATTTAGAGTTGTGTAAACCACCAAAGGTAAAACATTCAAAGTCACAGCAAATGATGAATTAATTTAAATAGTAAACTGGGAAACAGCATAACGTTTGTAGAACTCGAAGAATATGAATACGAAGTTATTTTATTTAGCTGAAATTCTAGATGGAAAGAACATTAAAACTGCAACCAGTAGGCGAGTAACGGCGCCATATCAGGATCACATGAACTTAATGTGAGACCCACGAAATCTGGTCACATGCAAGTAGGCACATAAAGCCAGCCAGCTACGTTTCTTTAAAACCAGAGAATGCAAAATTCGTGCAAACTTTGCTGCAGCAAATTATTTTCTCACTAAACGCCTTAATATGTTTTGAGCGTTAACGTAGTGCACAGTACAGAACAAAAGTGGCATAATTCAAAACACTTACCCTGGTGCAACTCCGGAGGACAGGTACAGACTAGCTCCACCTTCTGTCCTGGCTTCTTCTTTATCGAATTTGTTTGAACTTCGGAATTCGAAACTGGGGGCTGCCTCTTAAAATGCGAGATATCAGGTACGGTCTGCACAAGGCGTAGAGGAGCGTGGTTTTGCTGTGATTGGTGGTGCATGGGTACTAGATGGAAGTGGCCTGGATGATTGGGAAAGGCCGTTGCAGCCATAGTGTGCCCGTCGGGGTAGTGGAGGATCAGGTGACGCTCACCATTCACGCCCATCTGCATGGTGGCGGGTAAAAGAGTGGAGTGAAGTGGCAGTCGTGTTGGAGTTCCATTCGAAGGAGTCTGTGAATGCATGTTTTCCGGTGGTGAAGTTGTAGATTTGTGTTCCTCCTGAAGTGAAACTCAGAAAGTAAGGAGGTGTTTAGAATCAAGAGGTTTTCATGCCAATAAAGTAAAAAGCTTACGTGGCAGAAGTTGATGTAGTGATGTAAACTACAAAATGCTTCAATACGTGAATTACGGTGTCTTGGCCTTTCAAATTGCAGTTAAACCCAAAGAACAGATCGAGACAAGACAGTAATGATTAAACCAAGGAACGTCTATAAATGCATTTCTTCTAATAAGCATCATGTTTGCCGGCACGACTTACAGTAAGAAAATAGTGATTACTTCGTTGGATTCATCATGGCTAATTGTTTAAATTCAAGACAAAAACAGTTCTTGTTGTCTCTGATAGATGGTTGTTTTGTAAAACGAGTATATATTCGAGAGCCAACAGACCATAATTTACTGGGACATGAAGACGCACCCTGTCACTGACAGCTGAAAGACAGAAGACCTAATTAAAATGCAGCCAAAGTGAAATTTTTCGTAAATCGGGTTGGTGCAAAAATAATGGCCTTTTTTACAAGTGTTTGGCATAGTAGCCATAAATTATTTTTCGGGTAATTTGGTTTAGAATGTCACACTGACCAAAGTATTCCAATTTCAATGGGGATCGCGTTGAGAGATAAAGAAGCTCTTGGAGATGGTTTGCTTTACTTTAAGTAAAACCATGTACACGGACAGCACTATTGCACCAAATGCTGATTACATATGTTTAACATCCACAAGGTGCACCAAAACCACAGTGGCTGCAAAGTTTGTTCAAAATAATTTAAGTCAACGTATTTTGACGTCGATGACGCGCAATCAAAATTGTTATAAATTGAACCCAGAGATTGAGAATTCGAGGTATTAAAAATAACTTTAAAACCAGCTCATTTTGAATTTCCTACCACAATCAAGCGCAAGTCGTTATGCTTACAACACAGGGAATGGATGAATGTTACTGCTGGTTGTTGGAGTCGAGACGAAACTTTAAAAAAACTAATGCTCTACAATCAAAAATGAACGATATTATGGTGATGAGTCGCAGATTTGTAAAAACAGAAAAAACCTGCACAATGACGTTGATACAATAAAAACAAGCTGATTTTTCCAATTGAGGCTTTCCATCAAACACGAAATCCTGAGATGTTTTTTAACCACTAAAGGGCCAGAACTTCGAAAAACATTAGGACTACAGGAGTGTGCCCGCTGACATACGCCTTAAGACTTAGCATAATGGCAATGGAAGTAAGAATAACGAAGAAAGCATCAGATTATAACCAATGTGTACTCTGTATTCAAAATTTGAGCGAACGGTGTGGATGCTTTGGTGCCGACAAGTATACTTCAGATGATAGATTAACTTACTAGAGAAACGTCCGTCAGTCGCATGCAAGCCATTCTCTACTGTTCGCATAATTAAAATTGGGCAGTATTCATCTTTTAGTTATTACCGACGTCTTTCGGAAATATTTAAAGGCCAGTAAACAAAGGCACTAAAGCAAGACAAGCCAAATTTATAAGATCCACTTTGCGATAGTTAACCGAAATTAGGGAATAGTGAAGATTTTGCCGCTTGACGTGTTGTAAAGGCAAAAAGCCGTTTGAGATCACTGTGCGACGAACACAAGCGTTGCACGCACATTAGCCGGTAGGCTTTTAAGGTGTACGACTTATCAAAACAAGGCGGACCTCCTAGGGTGGAAAATTAAATCCAACAACTTTTAGGTCCTCCCAGGGCCACCAAATCCAGGATTTGGAAATATAGTCATCACGTTCATGGAACACAACTAATGAGGTAATCATGGAAACCACTCTTACGTCAGCACCAGAAATTCCGAATCAGCTCCAACCCTTTTCTCAATTTTTATGAAATAACTGTATACATTAAATAGAGTAGAAATTTTAAGTAATTCAGTCAATGCTCACTTGCTTGTGTTTCCCAGGTACAGGCTGGGTGAGGGAGTGTAAGATGCTGGGTCCGATCTTATCCTGGACAAAAGTAGGGATGCTTTGTTTTGACGTAGTATTTATGAGATTGTTTTCTGATCGTGAGGAAGCTTCTGTCTGCCTCTTGGAAGATAATTTTAGCAAGGCACCGTCCGTAAAAATCCTAAAAGAAGTATTTTTGGGATCAACTGGTTAATTACATGAATGAAACTAAGTAATAGAGTGGAAGGAATAAATTCGTACTTTCTGTAATGAGATTTAAATACGTGTTCATTTGATAAGAAAAATATTTCTTGAATAGGCCTAAGAATAGTAGGCAGCGTGATGATATGTTGCTACAGTAACTGTTAACCTAACTCTTTGTTTTGTACACATATGGCTTGCTAGCATTTCAAATAGTTAAGTTTAAAATAAGCGAAGTGAATGCATGTTTTTTAAAGTCCAAATTTGCCTTAAAATATCTCAAAAACTTTTATGATGCATAACTTGATACACAAGTCACTAGTTTTAGAACAAAGTGCAGCATAATAGGTGAAGTGGATAGTTATTGAATGTGAAAAGATTGTTTTTATTTAATGATGATTACTTCCCAATGTCTATCAAACTGCAAGCGATGGTAGGTTTATAGGACACACCTGAGATCTGCCGGCCGAGAACTCGCAACTTTTAAGGTTCCGGCTAAATTGACAATAACTGATTTTTGAAATAGGTGATTAGGTTTCAATATTTCTTACGGTCTTAAAGTACGAAATAGACTAGTGACAAATGAGAAAAAGAATGAAAAGAAACGACCGTAAAAAACTAAGCCTCTTAAAACAGCAGAATAACTAAATCTTCTGTCAGGTAATGGTCTGCACTATTTTCAGTTAGCATTTGAAGTGCCTTTTTTAAAAAGAACAATTATCTTTGACTGAAAATCAATTTCTAAATTTAACTTGAGTTAATTTATTTCATCAAATAAGCGCAATAGATGACTGCGGCTGGTTTTCATCCAGTGCAGACAAAGGCTTAGCAGTTAAATAAGTGACTCTTAGGATAATTAATATGATTTCACACTTTATCAAAGTCACTGAACTTTTAGTGGCAATTTAGTGAATGAACAGCTTAAGAATAAGGCATATAGTGCAACTGTTTGGTCAGTTTCTGCATAAATGAATGGTAGGTTGCGTTTTACTGAATAACTGTCAGCAACAAATAGTAATGTCCTATAACTACAAAAAATACGTCACTGCTTATGACATTCCAGCAATGACTACCCTTTAGGTAATAAAGCAAATTATGTTCCTTGTAAAGATCTGAAGTGAGAAAAATTAGACTGTCACATTGCATAGTTGTTAAATTTTAGAAAGTGACCAAGTTAAATCTTTATGTAGTCGGTGTCGAGCACGATTTAACTTGGAACATTTTTTCGCCATTGTATATATTCTGGTTGTTTTCGAACTCACTTACTGCACAACAGGCAAGTGCTAAACTTGTTGAAGGGTCAGCAGAACTAATGCAACACGGGGTTTGGTTCCAATAGGTTTGGGACAGTGAGATTTATTTAGATGATCACCATTCATTTAATTTATTCAAAGGCCTTCAACAGATCATTTTAAATAGCGTCAATAAAGAGGAACGACTGTAGCTTTTGCTTTTAAACCTGTCAATACAATACGCCAAAGTGAGTACTCCTAAACATTTTAAAAGACAAAACTTTTGTTCGCGTGGCCAGACAAGGACTCAAACTTTCATTTAATTCTGGATTATAGCAGCAAATTATGTAAATGGCCTGACCTAGGCGCACGAGTCACGACAACTCTTCGCACCAAAGCTGAAATCTATTAGGCTGCAATCAAAAACCTATCCTTTCTGCGCACAATTTGCCAATTAAGCGGCCCTTACATGTAACCCAATCATTTGTATAATGGACGTCGCAATTAGCCTGAAACGCAAGCAATAGCATTAAAGTGTTTTAGCGTAACGTCAATAACTCTGAGAATATGAGTGCCACTTAGGGATGTCGGGACAGTAGTGCACAAATCATAGATTACGACAAAAGGGCATTCATTAGTGACTTAAGAAAAGCCAGTTATTTGTATGTGAGGTTGCGAATAACTTCTCAAGACGGACTTCTTTTGGTTAGATAATGATTAACACGTCGAAGATCAAATATCTCCTTGCTTTCTCATTTCCCACAAAAACCAACTACCATAATTTAACCTGTAAAAATAATCGTACATGCAGTGTTCCATCAAAGTAGAAGAAAATCTGATGAAAGGTCATATTTGACCATTCAATGGAATCGACGCGATCACAGCCACGTGGCCGCCAAAAAAGGATGCGCAGGCCATTTTGGAGCAGATTTACAGAAGTGCACAGCACCACCAAACCAGCACAACGTGGCTGCAACAAGGGCCAAGTAACATTTAATGTACAATTACCTTTAATGATTAGGCACCTCATTGACCTTTATATCCATTTATGGTCTCTTGTTGGTCTTGTACCGCTAAGGCTTGCTTTATTAACAGTGGTTTGATCCTCTAATCAGAACGTACTCCAGAAATCTTCGTTAAATGTTTGGATGTTTACTAAATAAGCCAGTGCGGTTGTACGAAATTCGTTCCCAACGTAGAAGAAATCTAATCTTAATTGAAAGCATGTGGTAGTTTGATTAATGCATTCATTGTTGTCAAGTACCACTTTTTCACTCTCGCCTCAGGCATAATGATCTCTAAGGTCTGACCAAAATTTTTCTTTAACTATGCTTTTAATCCCATGTTAGCATTGAAGGGAACCTCATCCAAATTGTTAGACAGTGAGTAGAGAATATGGAATGTCAAATCCGAAGAATATGAAGACAGTTGCATAATTTTTCAATCGAGAGTGTGGGTTGCAGCTTGTGCCTTTTGGCAATATGAGATTGAGCACGCTTGCGCTTGAAAAGAACGCTATGAAGTCGATGAAGTAGAGTTGCCTGTTGTGCTTCATCAAGTTGAAACACTTTTTTAAATGTAATGATTTATGTTGACGGATTCGTTATCAACAAGTATTTCACAATGAGTGAATTCACACAGCATAAACTCCAATGAATTATTCCTCA